GCGAGAGAAAGAGATAGCTTGTGTTGTTTCTCCAGTCTTTTCCTTCAAACTGTTTAAAGGCGTTTGTTCTCTTATTTAAGATAACACGAAGAAGAAAACAGACATGATTTGCAGTCAGGCAGCATCGATGACACTCATTCATTTGTTCATCTCCAAACCTTTTAAATCAAATGCATTTCCTACAGAAAATCTTACAAATGACAAACTGAGAAATCAATGTTAAGTCCTCTGGGAGAACTGCTTTGCCCTATCTTACATGGGATTCACTGATGCACGTGGCATGTTGACACCCTTTCTAGAGAACCTGGAACTTCCAGGAGTTTTGGTCCTTGTGATCCAGGCAATCCATTGTGGTGAAGCCCAGCTTCCAGGCCTGCTGGTCCTTGTAGTCCAGGCAGTCGACAGAGGTGAAGCCCAGGGAAGAGGCAGTGCTGTAGCCCTGTGAAGACAGAGATGCTGGGGACTGGCTTAAGGAGCCCCCCATAGAGGGCACAGCAATGGGGCTGAGAGCACCTCCGGTGCCTGACAACTGTGAATGCATGGGGGACAGATAGGCGCTGCAGTCCAGGCCAGTGAAGTAGGAGGTTGTGCTAGCATAGCCCTGGGTGTAGGCTGACGGCTGGCCATAGCTCATAGGGTAAGGTGAGGGCCGCTGCATGCAGGGCGCCGAGGAGGAGGCCAAGGGGTCTGGCAGGGGTGAGATGGCTGGGCTCCAAATGGACACAGCAGTGTTTCCGGTGCTGGAGCTCGGGGCCAGGCTGGGGCCAGAATGGGCTGAGGAGGGGCTGAATGAGCCAGATGGGTTAGGAACGGGATCAGGAGCGCTAGGCTCCTGCGCTGGCGAGGCCTTCTTTTTGGGAGGCCGGGGCTTGGACTGGCCACTGCTCTGCTGCTGCTGCTGGCGGCACTTGGCACGGCGGTTTTTAAACCAAACCTGAGGTCACCAAAACAAAATAGATTCAACATGTTACCAGTCATGCAGACATGTCATAACGTATTAATAATCAGAGGTTTGGGTTACAGAGGCATAGACATAGACTTCTATGCAGAAGTTCATAACACAGCACACTATGAGGAACGCACAAGGCCTGAACACAGTGGCCTCCATCTTGGCAGTAGCCTACTTCTCCAGTACCTGGACACGTGACTCAGGCAGGTTGATCTTGAGGGCCACCTCCTCCCTCATGAAGATGTCTGGGTAGCGGGTCTTTGAGAAGAGCGCCTCCAGGATGTCCAGCTGTGTGCGGGTGAAGGTGGTGCGCTCCCTGCGCTGCTTCCTGGGAGTGGCTGAAAGAAATGACATAGAGAGGGGATTATCGTGCTAACATCAACAGAGGGGCGGCATGAATTATGAGTTTTTATGTGAGTGATTTGAATCATCTTTGTAGAAAAAGAACACAACAAGCGCTCAAGTGATTCTTTGGACAGTTTTATTTTCCAGCTATGTGCGTGGATGACAACAAATACTAAAAAGTATTAATAGAAATATCTCAGTATTATGCCATGCCAGTTGTTAATATGTTTTCCCCACGAAAAAGACAAAAAATAAATAGAATAAGTCTCAAAATGAAGTATCATAGTCAGAGGTTGTTAGAGGAGTTCCCTTTACTTTGAAAAGCAGAAACGGCGACTTTTTATTTCATAAAATAGGATTTCCATTAAAAGTGCTGTGAGTCTACCCTTCATGGTGCATAGAGCCAACTGCCTTGTTGTATTTGCAGAAGAACAAGAATTATTACAAATATTTTATATATTAGAATTTCTAATATATAAAATACCAATCTGAGCGTTAATGAAGCCGCTAAGAAAAGTTAACAAAACGCTAACAACAACAATCTATGTTCATCTGAATTCAGAACTAATAGTTTTCCATTTAATTAAAAAATAAATCTCACGTATAAATTTATCCACAGAGCCACAAAATGTGGAAGTTTAAAGACCGACGGACAAAATATCTCTTACTACAGAGTTCTTCCGAAATATTCAATTTTATTCAGTCCAGCGTAATAATTAGAGACTATATTCAGCATCGGTCACTAACAGAAAAGAATGTTTTCGTTTGCTAAAGCATCGAAACCTGCGCGTTTTACGCACCATTCTGACAAACGTGATTCTAGAAACTGTGAGGACAGAAATGCGTTTTTTTTTGTTTTTTCCTATAAAAGTTCAAACTTACGTGGATAAGCGACGGTTGTATGAAGCACATCCATTCCAGGGGCAGGCACGTTTAACCCGTTCATGGTGTAATGGGGTTGCTTTATGTAGGACATCATCCTTGCAGCAGCCTTTTAAGTCCTCTCGCTGACTTGTAGGTCGGACACGCAACGCAGCAGCCGTGGCCCCCTCAGAGCTCAGCCGGGGCAACAAGTCGGTGCGTCCGAGGCCAGGCGCAGAACGGATAAGCGGGGCGCGCAAGTTCACAAGACAAGCGTCAAAGTGCTTTTTTCTTCTTTCTCTTTCCTTTTTTCTTAAACTGCTCTTTCAGCTGTAACCGACTGTCAGCTAAGCTGGGCAGCACACCGCAGAGCAGCGAGCATCCGGACCGCCTCTCTGTCCAACTTCACACAGTCAAAGTCACACAGGTGAAGTGGCCTTCGGATGCCTTTGCGCCTTGGTGAGGTCGCTCTACTGAGTTTCTTTACCGGCGCACACTGCTAATTAGAGGGAGCAAGTGTCTCCAACAAACCCCTCCCACACACACACGCACGCACACATATACACAGAGGCAGGCGCGCGCAATACTTTGCCTGAACAATTTATTCTAACCTGAATACATACAAAGAAAGTCCTCCAAGTATAAATAATATAGATATCTCCCCCAAACTTCTAATCTACCATATTAAATATATAATTTTCAGTCTGATTGTATATTTTAAACATACAGTCCACAATCCTAACCTGTGTAGTTTATCAAAATAAAAAATAATTTCTAGAATAAAAACTATGATGCCTACAAGAAGTTAGTTCCCACAGATCATGTTCAGTCATTTTCCCTCCCTGATCAGTGAACCTGGTGCACATCTGCAACACTTCATGGATTCACAGATTATATCTATCTGCAAAGCAGCTGTATTAACACACACACACACGCACACGCACACACACAAACACCCAGATGCACAAAAGCGATAAAGCTCATTTGATTTATCATAATATGCTTTATCTCAAAAGTAAGTATCTTATCTCCAGATAAAGAGAGGAAAGACAGAGCAATCCGTTCAGTGGTGGTGCGGGATGGAACAACAGCAGCAGCACTGCAGGGGTGTGAATTGGATGGGTCAGCAGGTAAACTTAACCAAAAAAGGTAAGAGAAGAAGATGCACTGGAAGGAGAGGAGAGAGCGCACAACAGAGAACTCAGAGCTGCTGCACCTGAAGGAGGCACCTCGGGTTTACATGGGAATGGATTAAAAACACACAGTTGGGGTCGCGTTAGTCCCAAACTGTTCTTGTGGAGCAGGTTGTTGCCAGTCATGAAAGAATCATCCTCAGGAGTGAGTGTATCATACTGTACATGTGTGACTGACAGGCACCTTTACAGGCTTATAGGGTTCTGGCCTCGACGAGCTTTGTTGTTGTTTTATTAGATTGTTAAATCATGACTTATTAAAGAGTAATGTTTTACTTTTAGCTATGTAATCGTTCTGTTTTATTTTCTTTTAGGGCGTTGGTGTTGTTGAATAGTGATGTTCTTTTTATTAAACACTACTAATCTTTTCGGACTGATTTATGTTTGTTTAAAATAAAAGTGGTGTTCAAACACTGCCCGCTTGATGATTGCAATGTGCTCTCTGTTCATCAGTGGGACAGTTCTTCCTACGGCTTCAACAACAAATAGGGAAATAGGGAAGAGGACTGAGCTGGTTTAATCCCTACCCTTCCCCCCAAGACAGGACTTACAGAGACATTTTCAGAGTGAATCAAGTGAGCCAACGTCTATATTTGCAACTGAACATTTTCTGATTTGTGTGCTGAACGAGGCCTTAAAGCTCAGAAAGATGGTAAAGAAGACAGAGACCAGGTATCCAGGTGGATGGAAGGCGGGGAGAAAAGACCCACATACAGATGGATGGGTGGATGGAGGGGAAGTGAGAGGAAAAGCAGGTGAAGGGGCAGGGGGTGGGGGAGGCTCCGGTCCTCGTCCCAACTGACACACTGCTGCAGTTAATCCAGATTAGAGTGTCTAAAACAGGTCGGCTAAATCTGCAGGCCAGCCAGCAATACAGAGACTGCTGTCAGGACCAATCACTCACCCTGCACACACACACACACACACACACACACACACACACACACACACACACACACACACACACACACACACACACACACACACACATTTTAGTAATCTCCTCTGTGCAAACCAGGTGCCACCAGCAGCTCCACACAGAACGCCATTAAACAGCCCACCAGCCCCCGCCCCCAACTACCAGCCAAGTTGGGACTCACACCCGTTGGAGCACTGTACTGTCAGAGACATTTGTCTCACCCAGGTCTTTCGTGGTTGCACATTAATGTAATTCTGTTTAATTTGAATTATATAGTGCAACTATGAAAGTAAATATCTAAAGATAAGATGAGACCTTGCAGCAAGAAAAAAATATTACACATAAAAACCCAATGATAGAGATTTTAATCCTGATAATAGGGAATTACACTTATCTAAGAGTTGGAAGTTAGAAATCATCATCCTGACATGGGATGTGTTTTAAACTCAACAAGAACAGGTGACTCAAAAATGCAGAATGACAAGATTAAGGTCAATTTCCCCTGATTTTATTAATAAGAGATGTGTCCCTATAGGATGTGGTGACACGACGCAACAGACAGTCAGAGATGGTAGTTTACAAAGATGGGGTTTTTAGGCAAGGCTACTTGTGCCCAAGAGGAAGGGGAGGCACAAGTGAGTACTGGGAATGACTACGAGTGAATTTGAATGTCCTACCATGAATATAGTTTAACTGATTTGTGCCATCTGGCTTCAGTATAACTCATCTGCATACCAGGGGAAATGTCTTCTGTGTGTTCTAATTATAAAACGTTCTACTAACTGCCTAAGAGAAACATGTACAGTAAGAAAGATGTTGGTCCCAGCACAGAACCCTGTGGAACTCCATGACTCACTGCTAAGACTAATTAATTAAAATTTGAATTTAAATAAATAAATAAATACTAAAGGTAAAGGTGTGAGCTTTAACCTTTTTAATTTATATTAAAAACACTATCCCTTATCTCATCATATCATATCTTAACCGTGTTAATAATTCAACAAAAAAAATCCTTCTGTCATTATTAGATGTTGTCACCTATATTATAATTTCTTGGCACTATCCCATAGATGTTGAAGAAAATGGATTTATGTTCTTTACAGGGAGAATTTGGCTCTTGACTTCCAGCTGTTTTCCTCTTTTGTCTGTTAGTCTTTTTCATATCAACTTTGATTTTTTTTTTTTTTTTACTTGAGCCACAGTGTTTGCTGTTTTTTATTTTTTCTATTTATTTTTAATTTCTCTGACTTTGGGAAGCTGGGCCTCTTATTGCTTCTTCTGACGACCTCAGAACCTATTATTTAATTTTCTGCAGTCACACTTTGTTGCCTTAAACGTTCAGGCCTGTCTCTTACAACATGGTTACCTGAATGTAAACATGCTAGCATATAGGGGGATATTAGATTATATGGAAACTGCAGAAAGACTGTTGGTTCCAAATGATTGTGATTTATTGATATATGCTATTTTGGGGTTTAAAACAATGATGAGATGCTTTGGCATAACCTAAAATAGTCCAACAGGCCATTCATGTGCAAAAAGTGTCCAGTTTAGCTGAATCAAATCAGTACTGTAAATTCCAAAAGATGGTACAATGGGCTGTGAGGTCAGGTCCTTGATCAATAACATGCAAATTGTCATAACCACTGATCAACAACCACTGATCAAGGTAAACTGATCATTGATTAATGGCCATGAGTCCCATTCACACAGGTGGGGAATGGCTGCAATCACAGCATTGTCAGATGGTGATAGATGTACCCTTAGGCCCCCTCCTCGATTCCCTTTTCACGTAAATGGCCTCCTTGACTCAAACCAGCGTTCCTCCCTGTCCAGGATGTGTACATCCTCATCAGTGAAAGAGTGTCAACTGGCCTGTAGGTGTAAATAAACTGCAGAGTCCTGGCCTGACGAGGTAGCTCTTCTGTGTTGTGCCATCCGCTTCACCAGAGATTGTTTGGTTTCCCCGATGTATACAGTATGAATGATCTCAGACAGATGTGAACAAGTGAATAACCTGAGCAAACATGAATATTGATGATGTGTCTTTGACAGGTGGTGATAAAGACTACGCTGAACCCGACCATCCTGGTAACGGAAATCTAAATCCCATGTCACATTCTATTTCCTGGGACCCACTGATAATTATTA